CAAGAATTTGAAAATAACAAAGGACTCCCAACAAATTGGTCGTAACTTTTACAGCGCCTCATATTTTATTACCTTTTGAAACTCGGCGCGGAACTGAGAAGAAAGTAATTCAGGTTTAATTCTGTTAATCGGGGTCATTAAGTGTCATCACGAACTCGATGTCGCTGCCCCTAACGACCTTTCACGGACGCATTACCCAGGGCTGCCGCGCACCCCTTCCCGACCGCAATCTCGCAATTTCCATCTACCCGCCAGACTTTTTCTTATTTTTAAACTTCATTAAAACGTCTTTTATAAAATACCTATTTTTATCCTGTCGAAACATCTTAATAATCTAAGGTTTGAATTTTCGGTAATTATTTCGGATTGACTTAGTTTTAAGGCCGTCCAGATAGGTTCCCGTAGGAATATCCCCAAAATTCTGCGGTTCAATTTGATAGTTGCCTGTTGCTGGGTAGGAATCATAGGCATGTCTAACATTCCGTTACTTTACAACCTAAGTAGGACTGTAATCTAACTAAAAGTTCCGGAGAGAACCTTTAGCAAAAGTCTGATGGATAAGTAATTTTCTAATTTTACTCCTTGGCTTTTTTGCGGCAATTTTACCATTGTAATAGATTACCGCCTGAAATAAGAAAGGGATACTTCTAATTGATCTGGCCCAAGGGAATTAATTGAGTCTAAACCGGACTTTAACAAACGGTGGGCGGATGGATAGTCTCCGTGAAGCTTCGCCCGAGACAGACAACAATGAACTAGCTAGACCATTATCACAAAGGACTATCAGAGTATTACTTGTGGCAAGCACATACTGATATGAACCGTACCTAAGTCTTATATCTACATATTATATGTGATTAAAACATTGAAATCATGTCTACCTACTATTAAAAATAAAAAGAATTCCTCAATACATTCTCGAAGACTAAGCTTTTACATAACTGTAATAAAGGTATACGCTAAGCTCATTCGCAGAAAATTCATCAATCGGATTAATATTAAATAAGTAGTTTTCAACAAAAAATGTATAGCCTATGAGATAAATTTGTCAGCGTATCAGTAAACTTGCAGAATTCCGTGCGATTCGTGCGTCTGCATTTGTGGAACGCCTACGGGCAGTATCCAATTGGATTGGATTGGATGGAGCAGGATTGAACTGGATCGAACTGGACATCGGGGCGCAGCCCTATACAGCCACTAACGAACGAGCTGCCAGTCCTCGCCTCCCTCGCACCACGACTTAAACCCGAAATATTATTCTCGGGAGAGCCGCTATGATTGTAATGGTCTTAATTGCACAATGTAACTATTTCACTAACGCAGACCATTTGACGGTTGTCAAAGACAAGGAGCATCAAGTCAATCTTGTTAAATATAATTTATTTGAAGATGCTTCCAAAATTTCGTCAGAATCTATTCAGAAGGTTCGGCCAAACGTGCGTGCCCGATGGCGATGGCGATCAGTAGAATCAGTAGGATCGCATTCACGCGGGCTGCAGGTGCTGGTTTGGTCGAATCTTAATCTTCATCATTTATCATTGATTTCAATCAAAACAATTACATGCCCCTTACTAAATTCAGCAGACACGACACCCTGCAGCAGGCTAAAGCAACTTTTTTTCAAAGTAAACGACTTTTTATAGCGTAAGATCTTTCCATTCTTTCGACATTCAATTTTCCAGCGTCATATTTGAGATAGGCATCCATTATAAGGTACTATTTTTTTGCGCTGCAAGATGTTCGAGGATTTTGAAGTACACCTGCCCTTAATACACCGTAAAATCCACGTAAACCACGAGGCCGTAAAATTCAAATAATACATGCTTGGTTTGGTTTTACACTTATCTAAGCGGTCGTAGTCCGTAAGTACTTACTCGTTAACACAATTCTTGGAATTACACGCGTACTATAACCCTAATGATTCTAACCTAAATTTTATTTCCTAGCCAACTACAAGCCATTAGTGTTAACTAGTTAATTAGAATTAGCACAACACTGATTCCCAACAGACCTCAACTCTCAGCTAAATTATTTCATCGAGCTATCGAAATCGCATCTCCTTATAAAGTTTCTCTGTTAATATACAGTTGGCTTCAGTTAACGGTAAACTTCAGGCGATCTATCATCCGACGACTAATATTTACCATCAAGATACGATCTGCCTTTATCAAGTAGATAACGCTTATATCCTAGGTTTTATGTGTAGCTATAATAAAACTCTAGAACAGCGTTTCTTAACCTTTTTTGTCCATGGACTTGGACCCCTTAGGAAATGAAGCACAATTTTAAAGGACCCCCATAATAAAAAAGCAGCAATTCGACTACGAGATCTTCGGCAGCATAATAATTGTTGAATGGTCCATAGAGAACAAACTCGCGGACCCCCGGTGTCTGCCGGCCACAGGTTAAGAAACACTGCTCTGAAAAGTCTCCAATGGGCTTGAATTACCTATGGCATCATTTAAGAACTAGTGAAGTCAAGTTATGGAATCGAATACAATTAAAAAAAGCTAAGGCTAAAACCTTATGATTGGGATTTAATAGCTTGACCCTTCTACTGGACGTAATCGCATATGAATGAAAGGTCTTAGTAGACTGGAGGACGACTAGAAAATGATTTCCACACGTAGGGAGTTGCGATCGCAGCCAGTTTTAATAAACTTAAGCCTCTGGGACACACCCGGCGCGACACGGCACGATGTTTCCATACAAATTGATGCCGCAAAGGCTGTCACCACACAGATGTGATTTTCGCCTGACAGGTTGTTTGGCATTGTTATAATATTTCACGTAACAATTTATAACACTATCAACACATCAACACGCGTCTGGGATTTTATATGTAGTTACTCCATCTTGTGTGGCTTTTAGTGCCTTTTTACAGATTCTCGTCGTGTTTGAATAATATGGTGGTCTATCTGAGTACAATAATTTTGTAAAACATAAACAAAGCTAAAATTCTGATAACTACAAACATTTCTGAATTAAGTTAAAGCACTGTAGTAATACCAACTAATGAAGAACGGAATATTTATTTGCTATATTAACATATTAAATAACCAGACCGTGAAATTTATATCAATTTATTCATACGTAGTCTCTTGAATTAATCAAATTATTAACAAGTCAATAAAAGTAACCTAACAAGAAACTTAAACAATATCTCAGAAGACGCTCATGATTACATTTCGATTTTATAAATGGTTTTAGGTTAAATACATACAAGAGCTTGTACAGTCGCAGAATGAAAAGGTTCGTCACCTTAGTGTCGGTTTTCGCTTGCACTAGGTACTGTAAGAGTCAAACCTGCCAACATAACAGTGCAAGAAACAGTGCTGCTAACATTGAAATAAATTATGACGTTTGCTAACGAATAAGGTTTTGCTTGTTTATTTTTCTATCCCATCAGTGCAATGCAATGATGACATTGACCAATTGACAATCGTTTTTTTAATTTAATAGAAATAATAATGGCAGGTTGAACCAACAAGAAGGTTTTAGTTTATCAATCATAATAATCTTCTTGACAAGATAAATCGTCAAACAACTTTGATCTGAATAATTTTGAACTTTACTGACGAACAGTTAAAGATTATTTTCTCTAAGGCCCAGTTTTTTGATTCATAGTTAAAATAACAAATCGTTAAATTTTGCTACTAATGGTTAAATATTAACAAAATGTTAACAAATAGTTAAAAAATGTACTAAAAGTCAAGCTAACCATTGTTCGAAAAACACTTTTTTCTGATATTTAACCACTTGTCATTTGACATCTGTCAAATTTGACTATTGGTTATTTTAACTACGAATCAAAAAACCGGGCCTAAGTCGAGATTATTCTGTAACATAGTTTCAAAAGGTAATATGTGCTCGCGATTCGTTGAAGGAATCAATTTGAAAACTGACGAACCTTTTCATTCCGTGACTGTACTTTAATTTACCTTTTTGCCGATTACGAACTTATTTGAAATTCGTATTAAATCATTAAAGGTTTTTTATGTAAAACTCCAACCGAGCAATAAAAATGAAATTGTTAGTTTAGTGAACCACTTCAAACTTTTATTAGTCCTGAAAAAGTATGTTTCATTTGGTTTATTCTACTTTGAACTCCTAGGTAATTACTATTTGGCTGATGATCATCCGCTTTTAAAGTGAAATATAATTTAAAAACTTTCGAGAGCCTTTAATAATGGCCATATGTGATAAAAAAGCCACCAACTAAATAAATCACACAATTGTGATATCGCATTGGTGTCCAAGTGAAATAGACCTTTAATTTTGAGCAATGACTATTATTATTTAACTTTAAGTAATTACCCACTTAATGATCAAAATGGAAATTGAGCAATAATAATTTCCTTATACGACCTAAATGAATTTGAGACGAAATCAAAGATATTCCCTTCTACAGGCTGTCCCGTAAATATAAATCTTGGGTGCCATTCATATCACAATTTATAAAAGTAAAGATTAAAAAGGTACTGCAATATTATGATGTTATTTGGCGTATAAATAAGGAGTGAATTCGAACTTACAGATATAGGGAGAAGCACTAAAAAGTTAGGTAGGTACACTTTTCCGATTTCGATTTAAAATATGATAGGTAGGTAACCAATATTTTCATGGAGACCGAATTGAGTTATTCAAATTGCTCCGCGATCACCTCTATTACGACATATTCGCACTTTACGGGACACTCTGTATATACGAAACGACCGAACCAAATTCAGCCACGGTCTTTCTATTCAAATACATGATTGAAAAAAGCAAACGACCTGCGCAAAACCTAATTTATTTCAAGGCTACTTGAAATAAATTATTACCTTTTGACACGATCAAGTTTGAAAAGAAAGTTTCTTGTTTGATCCGTGAGTTAGGATGAGTTTACATTTAAATTGAATAGTGACTCTAGACATGCAGTAGATATCGCGATCGATTCGCTTCATCTCTACATGTACGAAATTATTGAATAACAAAAATAACATGCCCACTCACATTATCTACAGGCACAGAAATAGTGCCCATATCGAATAATAGGAGTCTAACGGTCTAACGATACAAGTGATTATCCTTGATATTGCTCGCGATTTCAGGCTCCCAACGATCGCCGTTCGTGAGTAACCTTTCTTTGTTGTACAGAAGTTCTTCGTGAGTTTCCGTCGAGTACTCAAAGTTTGGCCCTTCAACTATCGCGTCGACTGGACAGGCCTCCTGGCAGTATCCGCAAAATATGCACTTGGTTAAGTCGATATCATAGCGCGTCGCCCGCCGGCTGCCGTCCGCCCGCTCCTCCGCGTCGATCGTGATGGCTTGCGCGGGACAAATGGCTTCACAAAGCTTACAAGCGATGCACCGCTCCTCGCCCGAAGGATATCGCCGTAATGCATGCTCACCTCTGAACCGAGGCGAGAGCGGGCCTTTCTCGAACGGATAGTTTATTGTAGCCGGCTCTTTGAATATATGCGCCAGCGTGACCGCGAACCCTGGAACAAATACTGCATAAACTCTTTCGAAGACACATTTAAAATAGATAGCGTCCACTTCCAAGTCAAAGCGGATAATCTCGGTGTTACTTTAGTATCTCACTCTGGTATAACTTTAGGTGTTACTTTCTCAAACAGAAACGAAGTACCTATCCGAGGAGATCTTAAAGCAAGTCTACAAATATATTACAAATCCCTGTTTACGACTTCAGATCCCTTTGAGAGCCTATTATTGTTCCACTTTAGGGCATAGGATTTCCCCAAAGTACCATCCCCAAATAAGAAGTTTGCCCATTAAGCCGCCTAGACGCCGCGAGACATAAAGCCTATGCGTGTTAGAATTAGAGGTCCTATTGATTTCCAAAGTTAATAAATTATTAGTTTTCAGTAACATGCATAGAACAATCGTATTTATAGCGAACAACTAAATATAATTCATTAAGGTCTTTGAGAATTCTACCAAACTTAATTATAAAATAAACTAGTTTAATCTCTTGCCGAGCAAAAGTTTAGTGAGCAAGCATCAGGATCACACACACTATTATCCTATTAATATTATAAATGCGAAATTTTAGATGTTTGGATGTCTGGATGGATGTATGTTTGTTACTCTTTCACGCAAAAACTACTGAACGGATTTTGTTGAAACTTTACAGTATTATTGTTTGTAACCCAGATTAACATAGGTATACGCTATAATTTATGACGATATGTGACAAACTAAATTTCATTAACTAAGACGTGGCCGCGTACGCGTGAGTAAAAAGCGCCATCTATCGTCATTGGTCAAAATCTACAGCGCTGGACAAAAAAATTTGACGTTCGTAAATATTCATGTGGGGGAAGCCGTGAAACGCCAATATCAACATCATTAGTAATTAAACGAGGTCCACGCGTAATATGAAGTCGCGGGCGGCCGCTAGTGCTTTATATTCTGAAATTGACCAGTTATCTGAGACTAAGACTAGGCGCAGACCATCGATTTTTAGTTGGCCGATAGTTGTGCCCGATTTTAAATTGTTTGAAGAATCGGGCATTGCATTGCACTTCCATACATGCCCATACTGATCAACAGACTGTCCGACTAAACTATCGGCCGACGAAAAACGATGGTCTGCGCCTAGGCTAAGTGAACACCTAGTTGATAAGAACCATTCTAACTCACCTCTGATCAATTCTGTCCAAAAGAATATCTGCGAGGCACGATCGAAGAAATCTCTCATTGTCGTATTTGGGGGCTTATCATGTACGTAAATAAACTTCACGTCGAATTTGGTTCTAGGGCACGAGTAGAAAGGTGGGGACTGCGGCGGCGGCATGCAGCAGGGGGGGCAGTAGGGGGGACACGGGGGGCACGGCGGGCATGGGGGACACTCCGGGGCACATGGATTGCTGCTGCACTCGCGGGCTGCCGATGACAGTATCTTGTTGAGCCGGTGCCATGGTCTTCCTGGATTCACGACCCCAAGCAACATGTTGATTGAATTTTCCGGATCAACAAAATTTGACTTCGATTGACGTTAGGAATTTGACGTTACATATTGTCTATGACTGTCTTCGGACTATGAATGGAGTTCGTGTGAAAACTCAATTTTGCAAAAAGTATATCGTACCACAGAATAATAATAAGTACTATTGTACTTTGGAGACGGCATAATAAACCAGCTTTTAGTTTTTTCAAAAATGTATTAGAATTGTATTGGTGTTGGTACAAAAAACTTAAGCAGGCGTTCAACACATGTTTAAAATTACATTTCCATATTAAATGTCAATTTATACAAGTGTTCAAAGTTAAAGGGGCGTTTACTTATGTATTTAGGTATTTGTGTATGCAGAACATCGACATAAAAACATTTCCCAAAATGATAAACGACTATAAATTGAAATGAACTTTCGGTCACGAACTTTTCTAGTTTTCAATTTTCGTGCTGAGTTGTTAAACTAATAAAATGTCCGCTAAAAACTTGTTGTGTCACAAATATTATGTTCGGAGCGTCCCCGCGTCGTTTGCAAACATACCAAGTGTTCCATTTCAATTTCCTTTTCGACGACTACTCGAACTAACTGGTAAGAATCATATTGAACTGGGAAGAAAGTTGTCGGAGTCAGACATGTTGGGCCGAGGGGAAAACTAGCTAGTACTTACTACTTTCTTTGTGGGCACAGCTTAGAGAATTAAAACCAATTCCTCTATGGGGCACAGGCACCATCCATCTGTAGCATTTATTTTTATTTTTCTTGTAACACAACTGACTACAATCATGTAGGTACCTATTTGCAAGTTGTAACACAGTTGAGCTACTAAAATATTTACATTAAAAATTTGAATGTTACCTATTCCAACCAGACGCTGAAAATAATTATTATGAGCAAGTCATTTAATGATCAAGCTAGAGAGATTGTCTGTTAATGTGATTTATGCAAAAATTGTTACTATGGAAACTTATATTAAAATTGAAATAGTATTGAAAAAAAATAATTTAGAACCTAATAAGTTACTGTAGATAAGTTTTCATTTCACAGAAAAGTCTAGTTTTATTTATATTAGACAAACCTGGAAAAAACCAACGAATATTTAAACGATATTACATTTCTCTGTAGGTACGTAATAAAGATGCCCAGACATTTTTGAAATCTCATTTAACTCAGGTAAAAAACAGAATGAAAACTCTTAGAGAAAAGAAAATACGTACTTACTTCGCAAGTTTGGAAATAAAGATGCTTTAGTGGCAAAAGTACTTTGCCAAGATACAGGAAGAACTGGGCCATGAAATCCCAAACAAATAAAACGGAGAAAATAGTGAGGCTTTTTGCTTATGCATCCATATGTTTTGAGATTGAAATATATAAACTTATTATTGGATAAGTTCAGAGTGCAATTTCGAAAAGACACCACACTACGTATGAGAGTTGGAACTTCAATGCATCAAAATCAAAACACCTCATGGTGTTCAGGCAGGCCCTTTTCAAAATTGCAAAGGTTGGTCCAAATGTTCCAACCGCGCTTATAACTTGCAAATTGAGATGTAATTAATTGTAAAAGTTACGTTGCTTGAAGCTTTCAGAAGTTCAAGGTTCAGTTACCTTTCCTGACCGATTTGAATGGATACTTGGGCGAGATGGATACTTCAGCTGTTGGTTTAAGAGTTATTACTCCTTACGAGCATATGACGATTTGTAAGAACTATTTATTAGTCTAAACAAATAAAGAAATTTTGACTTTGACTTTGACTTTATTAGACTAGATGGTTTCATTGTAGACTGTGTAATTGCATATAGAAAGAAACGTCATATTTCAGCCTTTTTCAACTGATGAAACGAGCGCAGACCACCAACTCTTAGTTGGCCGATACTTTCATACATCTCCATACTGATCAACAGCCCGACCTAACTATCGGCCGAATAAAAATCGGTGGTCTGCTGCTAGGCTTACCATTAATATAAAATATTTTTAAATAAAAATATAAAATATTTTTAAATAAAAATATTTTATAATAGAAATATTTTTATTTAAAAATGAGAAAAGAAAAAATTTATCAGAGGCAAAAAGTGTTCAAAAAGTTTTATAATTCAGCTTGGGTCGTGACATAGATAGTGTTAGGTTCATTTTTATTTCAGAAAGCTGCAAGCTTAATATTTTAAGGTTACGTAACACATATAAAGGGTTGGATGCATCTTCCATTTACTGGTCAGATACAGTTTGCGATTCAGGTCAGATTTCCCCCGGGGCTGGTTTCGCTTTGCGGTGTGTTCATCCTGGATCAGCAAACTATCGTCACACCTTAATTGATATGATTTTGTATCTGTTTTGATTAAAGATGGAATTGGTTCACAAATATTGTACAGGCGACAGCACATCCGACTGCATTTACCTACCATTTTAGGAATAAATTAGGGATGTTAAGGATATGTAGTTTGGGTTACAAAAAATAATTTAAACTGCCTACATCCGAAACTATCCGAAGCTTTTGAATCGGTTACGGTTACGGTTTTGGATATTTTTTTAATTCAGATATCCGAAAGTTTCTGATATCCATAACATCCCTGGAATAAAGCATCTATTAACAAGTATGGGTCTAGCGCATAATTCAGTCAGTGCCTGAAGTATAGAAGCGGCCTAAATATTAATAATTAACTTTTTAAAAAAATAAAACCGACTTCAAATGCGTGAACACAAAAAAAAACTAAAAATTAAAAATATTGCGTATAAAAAAGTTCAACCCCAATTTTCCACCCTTGGGGGTGAAATATTTTCTTTGAATTCGCATGAAACCACCCTTTTGATAATACCTATTCAACAAAAAAATAATCGTTCAAATTGATTTATAATCGGCGGAGATATTGCGTATAAAAAAGTTCATCCCCAATTTTCCACCCTTGGGGGTTATTTTTTCTATTATTAAATTTAAATGGGACCACCCTTGAGGTATTACCTATACGCCGAAAAAAGATTTGTTCAAATCGGTTCATAATTGGCGGAGTTATCGCGTAACAAACATAGAAAAAAAAAAAAAACGGGTCGAATTGATAACCTCCTCCTTTTTTGAAGTCGGTTGAAAACCAATCAAAGGCTTACCTTATCTTACCACTTAGATGATGATGATGTTAATGATGATGAACTGACTCAAATTCTGTTTCATTATCATCAACGACACAATAAGTAAGAAGTTTAGCGGTAGTAATTTTTCAACAATAGCAGATTTGATTATTCAGCCATTATTTGAAACATTTACTTTTAAGTCTTCGTGAAATTAAAAAAAAAGAATAAGTATCAAGTTAAGCTGCTTACTACTTATCGAATAAAGTTTATTTTTTTTTCAGAGTTATTGAAATGCGTTTAATCTCATCACAACAAAAAAGGTCATACAAAATATAATTTTCCAATGTACCTAAGTACGCCGTCCTTTCGGTTATAAAATTCATGTTTTACAAACCACAAAAATACACAAAAGCTACTTAAAATACGTAACGCGAGAGCACGTTTTTATCTTCAAACTGAAAATGAGTCGTGCAGTGAAAACTCAAGACCTATATTTTCTTAGCATATCTTCGAGCTCTCCCCACGTATCCCTGTTATTCCTATGATTTGTGGTGGAGTCGGAACATATCTACATTTATATAACGTGTTAAGGTCGGTTCACATAATTCGGTTTTTCTCTATTCGATTTTGGTTGATAACTACTATTTTATTAATTACTCATTCCTCTTAGTGAAATGCCTCTAAACTTTTATATTAATTCTAGTTTTCTAAACAGCGAGATCTAAATTTAAACACTAAATAAACATCTTCGAAATCTACCCACTATTTAACACCCACTAAATAAATCAATACCGAATCCTAAATACCAAATACTCTGACTTTAAGAGGTCAAACAACAGGGCGAGCTGTTGGAACATTTCGTTGTTTTGTGAGCGGCGTCCACAATATGACGTTCTATAATTATCATTCACCCGTCCCGTTAGGTCTGTTTACGGCCAATTTGAAGGCACCCTTATTAAAATTAAGATGCCTACGCGTTTGTCACGTAGGTGTCGGTGTGAGCCGGCCGCGGCGACGTCACGTGCCCCGGCAGTCGTTAGCTGGTCGTTATGCTAATAGCGCCCCATCACCCACTCCTAACGCGAACCAATCGATTCCCAAATTAGTATTTTCTTTTATGTCACACATTAAATTTTATCTCGGGGCCACATACACGCCGAATTAGGGCCATTATGCGGTTTACACGCTCAAAGTGACAACTGTAAGCATTTTTACTAGATATAAAATGAAATGTTGAACGACGAAGGACATTAACAGTGAGCGTCATATTGCGCCACAAAAGGGATAGTGGCACAACAACTAAACGATTCTGTGTCGCAAAGATTTATTTTCCCGCGTGGAGCATTATTTTAATGTAACTTTCACGAGGAAAAAATGTTGGTAGCACGAGAAATGAGCGCTCTTGGTGGCGATATACCTATTAGAGGACTATCTAATGCTAGGAAATGTTTTAGAATGTAACGCGGAGCGACTGCAGAAGTCAGTCTTTAACTTTAACCAACCTCTAACTAAATTCAAGCACAGTCTAGAGTTGATTTGTACTCGGTGTAACTGTCTCTTGAAAATTAATATTCCAACTATGGCACGAAGCTAGACTGGTGCATATCATGCTAAACTTGTAACTATTGTTCGGTGCTCTGCGAATGGTAACCTAATACTAACTTCCCATGGGAATAAGGATTGCACGAGTGAACATAGCATAGATTATTATTTAGGTAACAGTCAAGTCGTTTTATCTCCGAGGAATAATTAAATCATAAATGAAACATGAGTATTTTATGTAACTCAATTAGTGTGATATCATGTACTACATACACGATGTAGGTACTCTGTGGTTCAATCTTTTGAAGGTTTTTTAAGGATTTGATTAGCTTGATGTCATTACTAAGTTTAATAAGTTTAGTTTAGAGTCCAAATAGAACTGTATAAATAAGT